TTTGCAGAACTGTATGAAAATGTAACCAGGATCCTCTTGATGAAATCCCTTGACTGAAAAATCTTTTTTTTCTTTTTTTTTTTTTTAAACCATGCCACACAGCAGAGATAGGTGGGGTGATTTAGGAGCAGGCTGTTCTTGTAAGCAAAGTTTGTAGCTTTCTGTTGCTCTTCCAGTGTCAGAGTTCAGGCGTCACTCCTTTGTCTGAGTAATAGTGAAACAGTCTGTTCCCATGAGTGTCACTGTGTTGGGGTAATGCTTGCAAGGAATTCTAAAATTTTAAGTTCTATATGAAGAGCAAGTTGTGAAGGAGGAAATAAATGGCCTTGACACATATTTAAAAATTGATGGAAACTTTTTTCCAACGTTGTTAAGAGAGAGATGGTTGTTACTGAAATGGTGTGTGAATGTAAAATGTAAAAATGCATCTTGAACAATGGGAGTTTCTATGGAATTCTGTTAGTGTTGAAAAGGTGTGATTTAGCTTAGGTTAAAATCTCTCCAGTTAGACTGATCATTGCTGGTTTTTGGAGTCTGCTTCTCAGCCGGGATATGTGCATGGGCTCTTAGCCTTTACTGACCAGGAACGAAATGTGAAATGGTGACTGAAATTTTTTTCAGGTGCTTTGCTCCCCCACTCCCTCTGAAAGTCCATGCAATGCTGCCAGGACAGTGTGTCCCCACTCCTGTTCTGCTCAGAGCTAGATTTAGCCCTAGCTTTCATGTCTAGAAACACTGTGTGTGACATCTCAGGAGTGGTATTCTGATTTTACTGATAGGAAAATTAAGGCACAAAAAAGGAATTAGCTTGCATAGGACATATTATAGGCAGTGTGGAGGTAAAACATGCTAGGGTTGGGAGGGTTTTTTTTTTACTTCTGGTCTAGTGGTGCAAATTGCTTCTCTTGGACTGTTTTAGGTAGCTCTCTCACCCACACCAGTTCTCACCTCTGCCCACATGACCATGTTCTATGTTGCTTCTGTCTGTATCTTCAGTTCCTTTCAGCAAAGCCATTGGTGACTTCAATACTGCTGTTAGTAGGTGTGGTGGGGAGTGCATTATGTAGTGGGTACAGGTGAAAACATCTCCTGTGTGAGCTGATGATGGGAAAACTGTGGTAGTATGAGCCAGGGAATTTTTCCTGCTTGTTTTCACTAGCTTTGCAATGCTACAAGGTAGTTTGGGTTATGAACAATGCTGCTACTGATTTGTAGCCATCAGGACTGATAAGCTATGTGAAGGGGCCTTCAGAGTATTTTGGCAAACTGTGTTTGGATGTTTAGTGCACACAAAATCTCTCTGCATTATTCAGGAAGATAATTCCTGTCTGTGCTGTTTTCCTCCTGTGTTGAGATCATTCTCCTATCCAACCGTTACCCAGCTGAGGTCTCGATAGTTCTCAGTTTTTCCATAATGACAAAATCAAATTAGCCCTATGATGAGTGGTGCATGTGAAATTCCTTTCGGTTAAAGCACATTGCCCTGAATATTTCCTGGCTATTTGTTTTCTCGGGGAGAATTCAGCATCTTGTGTTTGAAAGAGAAAGGAGAAAAGATGCAGATGAGGAAATGCTGTTGCTTAAGGTACAAGGGAGGAACGCATAGCTTGTTTCTAGAACATAATCTGTCCAGCTGTGACTTAGTCATCTCCAGTCTTATATAAAATGCGTCCAATCTAAATAGTTGAGCATCTCCCTCCTGAATGCGGCAAACCAGCGTCTTTTATGCTTATGTGAAGCTGTAACAGGCGCAAGCCATCATCTTAGGAGTACCTTCATACTTGTGAACCTGCTGCATCCATCATACTGTCAAGCCTCATTTACTCATGTGATGGGATTTTTTTTATTTTATTCTGTTCCACGCTTTTTTCAAGCTTAAAGAGATTCCTTGCTGTTGGCAGGGAATACAGCACTAATAATTCCAGACAGGAGAGCAGAGAACGTAACGTGAGAACAAGAGTGACTCTCCCGAATCAGACTGAAGGTTTTGTTCATCTCTCACAGGGCCAAAAATTGATGTTTGAGGAAGAATGTAAGGTGAGGAGATCAGAGGATCTTGGCTAACATCTCTAATTTCAGTGTAGTAGTTCATGCTGTTACATTGCATCCAGCCCTGCTCTAAGTCACTTTGATTTCACATAACTGTTTTTTAAGGAAGGGGGGATAACTTGACTGTTACAACAAGCTTTTATATGGATAAGTGTATGTCCACATTAGTCTTTTGTTTATATAATTATGGAGGTTTTGGAGGGGTGGGGGAGATTTCTGTTAGTGACAAGCAGGAACTTGTAAGCTTTGTAGGAACTGGCATGTGTGAGTTAAGATGCTATGTGCTAGTTCAGGGATGATGGACAGCCTTGTTTGGGTAGTCAAGGAAACTGATGCCGTGAGTGTGTTGTTAAATAAATGTATTGATAAAGAGAGGTGCTGATAAATCTTACCACTGTGGACATGGAAGATAACATTTAAAATTCTATCAATACATTTGCCACTAATACATGTTTCATGAAACTAGGGAAGCTGGCATCTTCAGTCACATATATGCAGTGGAAAAACAGTCTCCTTTGGAGGAGCACTTAAAGCTGAGCTTCACTTGGGTACTATGAAGCATTCTTCAAAGGCTTCTGAGAAAGTGTTTGATGTAGTTTTAGTTCTAAAAGAAGTTCTACACTTTTTTCCATAAGAGCTACAAATGTACTGTGCTCACTGTGAGGACTGAATGGCTTGGGTTGATGCTGCCCGGGGACCTCTAGGCTGCAGCCTGTGGCATGATTTTAAATTCCCCCCAAAGAATTGAGGTAAATCTGTACACTGTTTTTTAGGCTGTGCTTGACAAACATGGCCTAGCTCACTTGTAAGCTGCAGTGCCAAGTGTAAAAATGACTAGGTGAGATTTTCCAGTCTTTGTTAGGTGGAAAGTCAGATCATCAGAAGGTTATTTTTGGCCTTAAAATACATAGTTACGCAAAGACTTAGTGGCCCTGGAGAAGAAATGAGCAATGCCCTGAGCAACTGATCCAAGTTGGCCCTGCTTTGGGGGGAGGGAAGACTGTTTCAGTCAGTTTAACCTTCAGGGATCCCTTTAAACCTGGATTATTCTGTGGTTCAGTGGAAGTTGGACTGGGTGTAGGAGGTGTGGGGGACATGCCTGTTTTGGGTGGAGAGGCCAAGAGGTAGGAGGAGGAAGGCAGCATAGTCTGATACTGGAAATGGTTGTGCTGGAGAAATTGCATTAACATGGAGACCTGAAATATCTGAAATTGGAACTTGGCAAGGACACACCCAGCTTTATAGAAGGTTGTGGGATGAAATCAGATTTTAATTTGCTGCTGTTTAGATTCTTTTTATCTGAATAGCATAAAAGAGTTGATGATTCTTCATCAGAGATACATTAGTGGGATAATAAAGCATGTTTAGGGATCTCTGAATTGTTTTGTCACATTTCAACAAAAGATATGAATCCATCCAGTTGCAAGGTGATGCATTTGTTAGCAAAACTGCAAACCCACTTATAAATTGGGAAACAGCGTTTTGGAAAGCAGTAGCTCAAAGGGCTTTAAGGTCTTTAAAGCTAGTTGCCTTTACATTGTACTTGGGCCATTATTTTATTTAAAAGGGTTAATGTGATTCTTGAGCATATTGGGGAGGAAAAAAAAGTGGGGGAAAGGAATGTGAAGCAAAAATAAGTAATGTTATAAACACAGCAGTGTTGAGACTGATACTGGAATTGAATTTTGGTTTCCCTGCTTCAAGAAGAATGCCAGTGTATTTGGAGAGAATTCAAAGGACAGCTGCAGAAATGATCCAGGGACTGGAAAATAAGCCTCATGATGTGAGGTTTAAAGGAGCTCAACTTACTCAGCTTATTGAAAAGACAATTGAGAGAGGACTTGATCTTTCTCTAAAAGGACTTGTGAGATTTGCTGACAAAGGCATAGCAATATCAACTGAGGTTAGACAAATTCAATTTTGAAGTACAGTTTCATAGCAATGATAATAATTAAACACTGGAATTGTTTAAAGGGAAGGGGAAAGTAACAAATGTTCATTTTTGTCTTTTAAAATAGGCCCAATTTCCTTCTTTCTGGAGAAAATATATTGTGATTTTTTTTTTAATGATGATAATACTCCTTTCCTGACACTGGAGTTTATTTAAAGGTTTCATGCCATGATCAGTTGGTGCAAGTTCAGATATATGAAATTGCAGTCACAGCCAAGATCGTGAAATTAAGATGAATTTAGAGGAGAAATAGTTCAGCTGGTGCTAAAAGACTGCCTTGCATAACACACATAAGATGTGAAGGGAACTCTGAAATTTAATGCTTTGTGGCTTGCATCATTGGAACTCAGTTCTTTCCCATACTGCGTTGCTTCAGATGTTTTAAGATATGGTTAAGGCTTTCTGAAAGCCCCTACAGAGAAGCCCTGATGTAACTGTGTACAGTCACTGTATTCAGATGAGCGTTCCTGAATTCCAGATGACCACAGCAGAAGTCTGTAAATCTTTTTCATCCTTTTTTAGAAACAGTATGAAAAAAAATGGCACAATGGCAATATGATTACAATTCTTCTGAGAGGCAGAGTAAGCACAAATTCTCCTGGTAGGGTTCGTTCTTAAGTGAATGTAGGATATTCTCTATCTCTCAAGTTAACTGGATTTAGTCAGAAAGTTTATTCACATTTGAAACAATTCTAAATAATTGTCAGAAGTAGAGTTCTAATGGTGGTTTTTTGCTGGTTTTCACACCATCCCTATGAGAGTACTTCAGCAATTTCACTTGTCCTTCACTTTGTAAATTCACCTGGGGAACTGAGTGACTCAGTTTGGTAATGGCTCTAGATCGTGCTTCTACTTTTTATTTGCATTTGTCCATTCCACCACTCCCTTGGTGGCTGCCAAGTTTCTATATTTCCATATTCCCTGTTCCAGATGCCTTTGCAGACATGCAGAGCTCTTAAATTCCCTTCTGGTAGCTCTCAGAATCTGCTGCTTTGTGCAGGTGGAGCTGTCCCGGCTGGTCCTGCCTGTGTGAATGCTCGTCCTTGCCTATGCAGAGGAAGATGTGGAGCTACCCGGGCTGCTCTCTTCTCCTGCGAGGCTGCATTCCTGCCTCTCCTCTCCTCCTCCTCCAGGTCCGGCCAGGGAGGAGCCCCACTGCTGTCACCTCTGCAGCTGTGCAGTAAGAAAATGCTTCTGTGTCCTGTGGAAGAAGAGGAAGCTCAAAACTCTGCAGCTTTTTGAAAGTTAAATCTTATCAAGTTGTCACATAAATTGTGCTGGTTCTGAGGTGGGAAAATAGTTGTCTGGCAGCTGCAAGTTTCCTTGCTCAGGGCTAAAGGGATAGCAAAACTGCAGAAACGTGTTGGGGCACTACACAGCAAAGCAAAGGCCTCCAGCTTCGAGATCGAGTGCAGCAACCCCTGCTACTCACCTTGTCCAGACAGCCCTATCTGCCTTAACCTGCAGGAGCGACTCGCAGGAAGTGCTGCACTCAAAAGAGGTTGTGAAGGCTTAGTTTAGAAGTAAAGAAATCTCCCCCTTCCTTGCCTTCTCTCTTGCCTATGTCATTGTCCCCCTCTCCCCAGCACTGAGAGGCTGGTGGAGATGACCTGCAGGAGGAGGGCTGTGAGTCTGTTCGGCAACTCTTGCATTTCAGCCTCTTAAGTTTCATAATGTGGTTGTACATACATATGCTTAGTTGCACTTATGATAATCACGAAAAATGTCCTGAATGTATTCCTCTGCTCATAATTCAACATTCAAAAAAGCCACTGATGGAGGTAGCAGATAGCACTACACAGATGTGTTACAGAACTACTCACTCAGCATCACTTTCCTGTGAGCTCTACATGAGCACCCTTGGCCAACTGTTTGATGTCAGTACTCCTGTGTTACCACCCACAAGCAGTTAAGGTGGTTGGTGGTGTGCTGTGCACTCAGAGAAGCTCTTCTCGAAGGAAGAATTACTAATTTATCTTCAAGTCATCAGAAAAAAATCAGGTTTAAGTGACTTTTGTCTTTATTCAGTCACTGGTTGCAGATTTTTGACTGCTAATTTCTGCTCGTCTGCATTTACTCTGAAAATGTGTTCCACTGGATTATCCACTTTTAATCTTGTTAATAAAAAAATGGGCTATTCAAAAAAGTGACCGTGGCTCTCAGCACTGTCTGTCCCACTGAGCTTTGCATTTCCTGCCAGCAGTTAGGAATTAGGTATTTGGGAGCTTCCTGAATAAGCGTTACTTTCCTCTCTGTGGTTGTAAGAGCAAGTCTTTGATTATCTTGTTTTATCAAAAACTTATCCAAAGATCTTAGCAAAATTTATATTCCTTAAAGCTTGGTAGGCCAATATATTATTGGCTGGTGGCTTATTTTGTAAATCTGAATAGTAGGTGAACATCTACCGTACACAGAAGATCCAACATGCAGAGCTGGGACATGCCATGGTGACGTAGTAGTACTTGCATTTTGGGATCAGTGCAAATCTTACCAGTGCCAAAATACAATATAATGTGAGATGCAAGTAAGCCAGAAAAGCAAAGAACATTTCTTGGACATAATTCAGCATCATCAAGCAGTTGGAATGCCCGGAAGGGGAACTAAGGCTTTTTGGCTGATACGCTGCCTTTGGGCCTTCATGGTTGCTCTCCACCACTGTCCTACTGACTCAGTCTAACAGGTTTTATGTTTTTCAGTGGGAAAAACACATCTGCAGGAAATGTGTGAATTTTTTATGGGTCCCAGGACCATCTTAGATGACCAAGTGTGCCACTGGGTACAGGTGCCTGGGCAAATGCAACAGTTGGTAAGGTTTCCAAGATGTTTCCTACAGAAGGGCTGTGGTGGGGCAGTGCAGCAGGCTGAGCTTTGAAACCTGTCACAATGCTGGAAGATTGCTGAAATCCTGTAAAATTCACTGAATTTTAATGCTTAATAGTGATTATGTAGCTGAAGTAGTAATGGATCCGACTCCTGCTGTGTGTGGCACAGGTTGCAGGTGTTTTTGTAGCCCGGTTTCCCACTCGAGGCACATGGGACAAACTGGTGTTTGTTGGAACGTGGCACAAGAGCATTACATAAGCCTGGAATAACTTCCTTACAACACGAAGAAAAATGTATTTGCATGATCTCGAACCCAGGTGCAAGGCTGCAAAACTTGCCAGTCACAAACCACAGAGGCCAGGCTGGAGCCGGGAGGGCACTCGGTGATGGTCTGGGCAGGGGGGGAAGGGTCAAAACGAGTCCTGTAATGGAAAGCAAGGCTGAACCTTCGCGTGGGAGCTGCGGCTCCATAATTGCCACACTGTGTGATGTTGCCATGGCTGCCCGGGCAGTCCCTGCGTGGTTTCCTGGTGTGTGAGAGCGGGGCCGAGGCTGCCCTACGTGTTTGGGGAGCTCAGGCGTGCGCTGGCAAGCCACGGTGACGGGAGGATCCCTGTGTGGGAGACTGGAGGCTTTGAGTTCAGTCTCTCCCCCATCTCTTCCCTCCCAACAGATTGGAGGACGAGCTGTGATTTTTTTGCAGAACTTTAAAACCCCCTTTTAGTTCTTTCTCTCTATTGTGAGGTCCCTCGTTCTGCCCTAAGCCAGGGTCGTGCTGGGTGTCAGGGTGAAATGAAGGGTCCTGAGGGGCACGAAGGCCTGGGGGGGCTTGCTGGGCTGGGGGGACTCTGGCATGTTTTGATCCGAGAGCCTTTGGCTGCGTTGCCATCTGCATAGCCTGTGAATAGTTTTCTCTGGCACAGACCTTGTTCTTCAGTGTTGCATCATCTCTGGGAGAAAGGCCAGGTCCGGAGCCCCAGCACAAAGGCTTTCTGAAGCCGATGAAGCTTGTTCTGTGTGTGGAGCGTCTCTCTCCTTCCTGTCGTCCTTTCCATGAGATTCCTGAAGCAGCCTCCGTCCGAGAGCCCCTTCGTCAACAGCTGCTTTATCTCCGCCGCTTCCTGCACACCTGGCTGATGCAATGTCTGCCTTGGAAGCGGCTGCTGGAGTCTCCTCTGGAGCTGGGTTGTTTGCCCCGGCAGGGAGTGGCCAGGCAGGCAGCCTTTGTCACGTGGGGGGCCTTAAATAGATGTATAAAGGACGTACAGCGAGACCTGCGAGGCAGGGATTATGGAGAAATCTTTTTTCCAATACTAGGGCTGGAGGTTGCAGTCCTACTCCTGGCAACCTGTTAGTGGTTAGCTTTCCACTGGTTGTAAGTTTGGGACGCTGCTCTGTGCCAGTAAATTCTGCTGATTCCCCTTCTATATTCAGCGACTTCCCATGACTCTGGACTGTCTGGATTCTCATGGGAACTGTAATTGTCTGGCTTTGGATTTGATCCTAGTTATTGCCCTTTATTGCCGTGTTTCCCTCTGACCTCGCATGTGGTATAGGCTTTTCTCTGAAATACCTTCAAAACACAATTTCAAGGTCTAAAGGTTTTTTTCTTTTTGAGGGGGGTTGTCTGACAACCTTTTTAATTTAGGGTTTGTCTACTTAGGAAAGTTTAATAGTTACACAGGTAAAATCATTCATGTGAATACTATTACATCCACAAGCAACAAAATTTAGAACAAGGAAGCACTTTGGTCTGCTAAGATTAAATGAATGTTATTTACATTATTTAAATTAATCTTGAGTCTTATTTTATCCGTAGCCATTTTTTAGTGTAGGCAGGCTTCTTAAATTGAGTCTGAAAACATAGGATATATATGGACAAGGTGTGGTAGACTGAGCAGTGGTGATTTCAGTATTGCTGTTCCTCATTTTCTGCCCTATTGCAGAAATGTATTGCCCCTAAAACAGTGTCTAAAAGGGAATATATGTATTTTACCTGTTTCTGCTTTTAGTCCAGTCTTCTTGGCATCAACTGCAGTTGATGAGACATGGCAACGTTTCCTTCCTGCCACCTGTTTTGGCAAAGGCTTAGAGGAGACAGTCACAGCAGTAACATCAGCTGCCACAGCTGGATTCACTGGAGGTTAGTTGTCAAGCTCTTAATCTCAGAGTATCTGTTCTGAACCTTTTTGTTTGCATTTTCTTATTTTTGTGACATACAGACATTTGACTGTTCTCATTCACCTCATGGGAAAAAAGAGCAACAACCTCACAGTATAGGACCAGCATAGCAATTAGAATGTTCCTGTCACTGCAGAATAGTTTTGCCCCATGACTGTCACAAAATCAAAAGTTTGTGGAACTGAAAGAGGGATGTTTTTCCTGTTTCATTTATTTTAGTAATTTTTGTACCTTCAACTCTGTGGCACTTTATTATAATTTTTTTTCCTCTTGTATTGCTATATATCTTTCAGAAAATAGGAAAAACAGTATTTGCAAAAAGAAGTGTTTTCAGGGAATTGCCTTCGTTTAGTTTTTGAAAATATAATTTTAAGTGCTTCAGACTTGGAAGGATTTGTCACTTTCACCAACAACTTTTAATGCTGTGAAATAGAGGCTGTGTAAAATAATGTTTTTAAAGCATAGAAAGGATTCTTTTTGAGTCTATGGTACCATTATTATTTAAATTTTACTTTGATGGTTAACTTTTTTTTAAGGAGAGTTTCGTAGTATTGTGAGGTTTTCTTGAAGACTTCCTCTGTTTGTGACCCTTAGGTTTGTGAGGACTTTCATAATTTGGTTGGGATGGTCCTTTTGCCTTTACATTGAGGCTGTCATTCCTTTAAAACATCATCTCTGTCACCTTCCTGCTCAGCAGACTGTGTGTGCAGACCACACAAATGCTGCCAGGTCCCTTCTCGTCAGTGTGGGGTGCAGACAGTTTCCCTGGTGTGTACTTGCCACCTCTCCATAAACTCACTGTGGAATAATTTGGTCTGCCATGGATTGCTGCTACTCTGTAATTTGCTTCCACTTTCTAATATGGCATGTTTATGGAATTATTCTTATGTATGAACTCTTCAACCAATTTAAAATCAATAGGAATTAAACTTTCCAGTAAGGTTCTGTGATGCAAATTGGATGTCTTAAGAAAGTCCAAGCAAACCCTTTTCTGACATCTCCAGCTCTGGAGTGTTTTGGACTGTCAAGAATGCAGTTGAATTGTCCAGGAGAAGGTATTTCTGGAGGCAAAGTCTTATCTGCCCTCTCTTTTTCTCTTATGAGATTTCTATTTCTTATGATAATACCTGAAATCCTTAGTGGTTCTGAAAGAAAAACACAAGATTTTCTTTTTTTTTTGGTCTGCAAAACAAAGAGGTTTTGCATAATGTCTTGACTGCTGAAGCAGCAGCAAAGTTTTGAGGTTATTCCTTTTGCTTTTCCAAGTAATTTCTGCAGTCTTGGGTCAGTTGCTGAGAGTACTTGACTATGCATTTTGTAATTTTTCTGCTTGATGGTTTAATTTCTCTCAGTTGCACTCTGTCATTGTTTGTAGTCCCTTAGGGTGTAGTTCACAGAGGAGTTTAACTAAAATTGATGTTTTCTTCATCAGATAAAATGACAGAATCCTGTGGATGGACATGATGAAAATTGTCTTAAAATGGCTGAAACCTAGTTTACTTTTTTTTTTAA